TACAAAAATTTATTGTGTTTCAATACGAGTGTAAAAGTTTCGAAAAGCAGGGTATATAGCTCATAAAAATTCTTGGGTGTATTGATAAAAATATATTTGTTAATTCCAGCTCTAACCGACTTTGTCTTTTTTCTCAACCTAAATTGAATCATGCTCGAAAGGTGAAAAGAAAAATCTAATGAAGAAAATGTTAATTGTTTGCTTTGCCTAACTAAAGCATTTTTTTCCCTGACAAAAATCCTTAGCGAATAAGTAATTTGTAAATTTCATTATAAATGTCCATTAGAATTGGTAAGACTTAGAAATTAGGTAACCTCAATTCACCTAAATAACTTTCCATAAAAACAAAAAATCTAAGGCTTTGTTATAAGAATAGAGATATGTTTATAACTAAGTTTTATATATTATATTTATACAAAATTTTAATTATTTATTTCTTTACTTTTAATAATTGAGATTTATTCATATTTATTAAAGATAATTATTTTTTCATTTAAAAAATCGTGATAGAACTTAATTATTAAAAATGAAAAAATAAATAGATAAGTGTAACGTGTATAAAATTTATGTGTAAGTAAATCTATCTCTTATTATAAATGTTGTTCAAAACTAACTAAAACTTTATCATTAGGGGTCATTGGGTTGAGAGGAAAGCTTTCTCTATATTTTCTTCTTATTTGAATTTTGTATGGTTATTTATATATTTATATAACTTAATTAATATTTATAACAAAAGAATGGTAAAACAACAATTATATATAGAACTTACAATCTAGATTACATTACTCCTCAAGGAAAAGAACCGTCAATTATGAAATCTTATAGAATTCTTATAATTCTAAAAAGGAAAAATGCAACCACAACATGGAGTAGCTAAACGGGGATTTGAAACTTCTTTGAACTTTTCAAGTTTGTCCATTCAATCTCTTTCAATTTCAAGAAATTTAACTTTAATTTGTATTTCTATAAATAAAGCATATATTGTTAAAAGGTTGCACGTGAAGAACATTATGTGTAAAAATCAAAATAGTAGTTAGTTGAGAAAAAAGTGACAAAAATTAAGAAATTACCTCCATTAAAAAAAAAATTGAATGGAAAACAGAGGAAATTGGTATAAGTATGTACCAAAATTCCCTCAAACCATCAAAAAATTAAATTCTACATAAGAATTGTATTTTGTTGTGGTAGAAATCAAATTCTGCACAAAAATAAAATCCTACACAATCAAATTTTATGTAGAAAGAAAATAACGTGATTAAAAACTTAATCTTTTCATGTTCATCATATCTTAAACAAGATTTTAATCACTTAAAAAATCAATAAACTTAAGTGAAAAATAGTTATCTATGTAGTGACGAACTAGTTGATGAAGTGAAGGAAGTGAAGGAGAAGAATAGGTATACGACAATTGCTAGGGAATGTGGGAAGAGAGGGACTGTAAAAAGTTTAGAA